ATTGTTTGTTTGTCTATGAACTTCACTATTCTAAACTATAATATCTTTTTGACATGATTAATGTTAATTCCTAAATCTATTATTCATATTTAATTAAATGATTGATATTAACTGTCTAATAGATTCCGACAAGGTCAAATTAAGCGTACTCGAAATTTGGAGTTTACAGATGTGTAAGTTTTCGTGAAGTACTCTACCTAAAAACTGTAATAATATGTTTTTCATTGTTCTAATAGATACTATGGACTGCGCTGAGTTGCAAGCTACGATTTGTCGAAAAACTTGAAACTTCAGATTTAGAGCTCACTTAACTTGACCGTTCGAAAAATACCCTACGGCTAAATGTTGTCATTTGATAGAGTACGGCGGTTCCAAAGATTATTCGAAACCGGAACCGCGGTTCCGGTTAGTAGAAATGAGAAAAGAACGGTTCCGGTTCAGTTCCATTTTTTTGGAACCGCCGTACCCTATCTTTTGGTAACGTCCGATCGGAAAGGGTTGAAGAGTTCGTCTCAAACCACTCTATATATTTCAGTAAGAGGAGAAAATAAACTTACTTTTGGAAGATTATCATTTTGATCTATAATATTAACATGAACTATTGCTGTTGTTTTCAATGGTTGTTCTTTTTTTGGATGATCCATAGCAGTTACATTGAATGTAAAATTTTTCATTTGTTCATAGTCAAATTGAACTTTAGTTTTTATTAATCCTGTTTGTTTATCAATTGTAACATAATTATTATATGGCTCAGTTAATTCATATGTTATACGACCGTTATCATCTTGATCAGAATCATTTGCATGAACTTGTAATAAAATTGTATTTAATAAATTATTTTCTTGTATATCAACAAAATAAATTGATTTATCAAATATCGGAAAATTATCATTATCATCTAATATATGAATTGTTAATTTATAAAATGATGATAATGATAATTTCCCGATATTTGATAAATCAATTTATTTTGTTGATATACAAGAAAATAATTTATTAAATACAATTTTATTACAAGTTCATGCAAATGATTCTGATCAAGATGATAATGGTCGTATAACATATGAATTAACTGAGCCATATAATAATTATGTTACAATCGATAAACAAACAGGAGTAATAAAAACTAAAGTTCAATTTGATTACGAACAAATGAAAAATTTTACATTCAATGTAACTGCTATGGATCATCCAAAAAAAGGACAACCATTGAAAACAACAGCAATAGTTCATGTTAATATTATTGATCAAAATGATAATCTTCCAAAAGTAAGTTTATTTTCTCCTCTTACTGAAATATATAGAGTGGTTTGAGACGAACTTTTCAACCCTTTCCGACCGGACGTTACCAAATGATAGGGTACGGCGTTTCCAAAAAAATGGAACCAGAAACCGAACCGGAACCGTTTTTTTCTCATTTCTACTGACCAGAACCGCGGTTCCGGTTTCGGGTAGTTTTTAGAACTGCCGTACTCTATCAAATGACAACATTTTGCCGTAGGGTATTTTTCGAACGGTCAAGTTAAGTGAGCTCTAAATTTGAAGTTTTAAGTTTTTTGACAAATCGTAGCTTGCAACTTAGCGTAGTCCATAGTATCTATTAGAACAATGAAAAACATATTATTATAGTTTTTAGGTAGACTATTTCGCGAAAACTTACACATCTGTAAACTCCAAATTTCGAGTACGCTTAGTTTGACCTTGTCGAAATCTGTTAGACAGTTAATATCAATCATTTAATTAAATATGAATAATAGATTTAGGAATTAACATTAATCATGTCAAAAAGATATTATAGTTTAGAATAGTGAAGTTCATAGACAAACAAACAAT